TGTTACCCCAACATCACCTGCTTGTGTCTGCCTGTCTGTCTGTCTGTTTGTATACAACTACCCATCTGTCTGTTTGTCTGTCTATCTCGATACATTAGGTACGTAGGCATGGATAGTTAGATGCAGATAGATGTAGGTAAATAGGTAGACCGTTGGCAAACAGTTGGCACACAACTGTTTGGTACACAGTTATTAGGACAGTTGGTGGACAGTTAGCAGACAGTTGACCCACAACCGTTGGCAGACAGTTGGCACACAACTGTTTGGTACACAGTTATTAAGACAGTTATAAGACAGTTGTAGGCATTTGGCAGACAGTTGACCCCACAACCGTTGGCACACAGTTGAGCAGGCTGTGGACAGACAGTTGGGCAGGCAGTTGCTGACATGACAGGTGGACAGTCAGTCGGTTTCAAGCCACATGGTTGATGGGACAGTTAAAATCAGTACGTCGGTTGTTAGTCAGTTGTGAGACAGTTGGAAGGCAGTTGGTGGGCAGTTAGCAGGCAATCAGGCAGATGATGTGGTGGCAGACACTTTATGGGCACTTACTAAGTAAAAAAAAGGTAGTTACCGCAGGCACACACATTATTGTTGGTGGTCAGGACACTAGTAATATATATATAGGTGGGTTGGCAGTTGGCAAAAAGTCAAGTCAATACACAGTTCAGAGGCAGTTGGCTGACTGATCGGAGACAGTTGGCCAAACAGTTGCCTGACTGTTGAAAAACAATTCGTGGTAGGTCGTTGGGAGGAAGTTGATGAACACAGCTAGCAGACAGTTAGGAACACGTGCTGAATTTAACTGGCATGGCCACACCGAGGCATGGATCCATCCGGATGGGAGTGTGGGCTACACAGCAGCCTGGCTCCTGTGCAGCAGGGGCCAGCAGCCTTCTTTCTGGTATCAAGGATCCAGTACTATCGGTGGCAGCACAGCGCAGGAAGAGGACACGATGCTGCCCAGACATTGCTTCACAGGGAGGAGGGGCCTGTGTGTAGTATGAGAAATGTTAGTCTGAAGCACTGCTGCTGCTGCGGGTGATTGTGATGATGATGTTGAGACATTTAGTCAGCTACAGACTGTAGTCCTTTGCCCTGTAGCTGCGATGTGCACATATGATGGCAGCACTGCATGAGCATATGAGCATGTGTATGTGTGGGTGGCCAGGACGGAAGGGGATTGTAGTGCTAGAAGCATATATGTAATCGTTTGAGGCATGACGATGAGCTTCATCCCCATCCATGGCGTAGGCATCTGGAGCAGTGTTGATGATGGCAGCATAAAAAGCATACAAGCTATACTATACTACAGCTTCTGCTCGTGCTTTTAGCTGCAATGTGGGACTTTGTGCCTCAAGGACATACAAGACAAGACAACTTCTATATTATACAGAACTGCTGCATCACACGAGTGCCTGCAGCACTCCACGTATACTATTGTAACTGCCCCAAAGCCCTAAAAGTCAAGTCTGACTTAAGTCTGGAGCTTCATGACTAAAATGCTCCCACGGGTTTGCCATCTTTTATATTGCTGCTCCTCCTTAACTAGCTTTTCCAAAACTATCCACAGGTGCCCTGCTGCCCCCTAATATATTAAAAGGTAAAAGATGTACACAGACTTGAGATATGCGCCTGTGTAGGACCACATGTTCTTAATCACGATTCTTTCTGAGGTACAGAGGAGAAGTTGCCTTTTCATGAAGGCCTAGCTACACAAACTAAACAAGCCTTTTTATCCCCCGGTTTCACAGCCTATAAGTTTTCCAAAGCTCACAGCCCAGTGCAGAGAGACTGTATGTGCAGTACTTGATCAAGTACAGGACGTACAGTCTCTCTGCACTGGGCTGAGAGCTTTGGGAAAACTTAAGCTCGGAAACCGGGGGATAAAAAGGCTTTTGTTTGTGTAGCTACGCCAGCCATGTAGGTTTGCTGGTTTTCCAAGATCCCCCATGCAAAAGATCTAGACAGAGAACCCGCTGCCCTTTATATGCTGTTTGGTAACTTTGAGGAAAAGTGCCAGCACTCCACGTCCTCCCTGGTGTGGCAGGCCTTAGGGGGCAAAGGGAGGGGGGGACATGAAAAGTGAGTTGTGAAATGTGATTCCCCGACCCTCCCTAACCCCCATACCCCGCCAACCCCCGTGCCACGACCCTCCCAACCCTCCCAACCCCTATTCCCCGACCCTCCCTAACCCCCATACCCCGCAAACTCCCGTGCCACGACCCTCCCAACCCTCCCAGCCCCAATTCCCCGACCCTCCCTATCCATAGACACCTTGTAGCGATGTGTGACGTACGTTCCTCGACTCGAAAAGCTCCAAGCCACGCTCTGGAGGTTAGTGGTTGCAGTCGGAGGCCAAGGACAACGTTAGGCTAAGCTTCAAATATGCATTTTGAATCCGGGCTGAGCAGCTAGCCAGACCACGAACCAGGACGAGAAACCCAAAACGCGTTCGTTACAGTACAACTAATACGGACAAGGCACCGGGGACGTGGACATAAGGTTGGGGATAAGAGACGCCCAGCCTGCCTGCCAGAGCCCGCATGCTACTTAGTGCGGCCCTTCCGGGCTACCGTGCTCTTCCGCATTGGTAACCAGCAGGCAGCCGACGGCCTCGCTTGGGTTACTTTGGCCCCACGCCTAACCCAGCGAAACATCCCCCGTGCCTCTAAACTAAAAGGCTGGCCTCTCACAAAACCAGGAATCCAAAGTTCGGAAGGGAGGGCGGGTGGGAAAGAAAAGGTCGACAAATTCACACCGCTAACCAACGGACAAAACCAGCGGCAGCTAGCAGCTGTTCTGGTACGGAGGGCTCGTGTCAACTAGTAGCCGAGTCCGAGATCGCCCGGAAGATAATTCAACAAGACTAAACACCACCGAACAAATAGCAATTCAAAATAACAACCACTAACTGCACCGTACGACGCCGCTCCGACGCCCCTCTTCAAACCACATTTTCGGCTATGCCTAAAATAAGATTTTGAATCCGGGCTGAGCAGCTAGCCAGACCACGAACCAGGACGAGAAACCCAAAACGCGTTCGTTACAGTACAACTAATACGGACAAGGCACCGGGGACGTGGACATAAGGTTGGGGATAAGAGACGCCCAGCCTGCCTGCCAGAGCCCGCATGCTACTTAGTGCGGCCCTTCCGGGCTACCGTGCTCTTCCGCATTGGTAACCAGCAGGCAGCCGACGGCCTCGCTTGGGTTACTTTGGCCCCACGCCTAACCCAGCGAAACATCCCCCTCACCCAGTCGCGTCACATGCGCTCCACCACTGCCCGCCTCACCGCCACGGACCGGCGGATGTAGACCAGTACCGCATCAGACCTCCACCGCCCATGCGCCTTAATCTCCTCCAGACCCACCCCAGCATTGGCAGCCGCAGTGGCCCCCCCCTTGCGCAAGCTGTGGGCCGATATTCTAGCGAGATCTAGCCTCAACTCCGGCTCGTACCCCTGCAACTCCCCCAGCAACGCATGCAGCCTAATAGTGAAATCCCCGCGCCGCCACGCCGTCCCCTGCTTGCCCGGCCCGGTGATTCCCCGTACGAAGAGCGGGGAGTGACCCTCGGCCGTCCCCACGCACTCCAGGTGCCGCTGTACTATGCGAGCAATGGGGATGCCGCTCTGGGTGAGCGCTGCCAGGCACACCAACGTCCCCTCTCCCTTCTGGTCCGTTTTGCTACGTACGATCCGCAGCCCTACACCCCCTCCCGGCAACTCCTCAATGCAGCCCACTGTCAGGGCCGCCAACTCGCTCCTCCGGAGCATCCCGAAAAACCCCAAAACCAACCAGCAGGCGTCCTGTGTGAACTCCGACGCCCTCCGCGGCTCCGCATTTGCCCTGCACCGTAGCCACGCCACGAGCAGCCTTAGCACCCCCAGGGGCAAAGGTGCCTTTGCCATGGACGGTGCCGACTCCGGCCCCGCAGCAGTCCTTCGCAACGCTTGGCCCAGGGTTCGCTTGACCAGCGGGTCGCGGCTGATATAGGCCTCTGGCGAGACTCCCATGAACCGCTGCCAGTCCGCCAGGGCGCTCAGCGTGCCGGTGACGGTGGAGGTCGCGTACCGGCCAACTGCATGCGCTATGAACAGACACACCAGGTCCCGATTGAGGTCGGACCCACGCTGGCGGGGCAAAGCGTCCGCCTCCGGCACCCCTGCGACCTCCGCACAGAAGCGTACAAAGCGCCGCCGCCCCGACTCGTATGTGACCAAAGAGCTGTCTGCGACCGCGCTGCCGTGCAACTCCACGGCTAGCCGTGCTAGTTCCTCCGTAACACTCCCCTGGGCCACTGACCCGATACCCGCCGCCGCAAGCAAGCAAGAAGTGCAGCGGTACCAACCACCGGGGTAGGCGCCTGGGGCGATTCCAAGGCACCGACGATGGGTCGAGCGGGGGCAGGCCTCGCAGCGTAGATCCCTAGCTCCACATCGCCGCCCGCAGACGGAGCAGCTTCCCTCCTCCTGGAAACCGCCTGCCGACACTGGCCAAGGGGGGATGCGGGGCAATCTAATTGAGCCTGAGCACAATCAAGTCGTACTCGCTGGGCGCGGCCTCGGCCCCCCACGGGAAAAGGCAGTGCCGCCGACCCTTGGGCAAGACAGCTGCAGCGATACCACAAACGGGGTTGCCCCTTGCCCGGTGCCCACGACGAACCGCCAAAACCACGAGCGCTCCGGCCAGTTTGGCACGACGACAGTTGCGCGTGTGCTCCGGTCGAGCCTCGCAGCCGCCACGATCTCGAGCAGCACCTCCCCGACCAAATCCTTGGGTGGGAAGGCCCACAGGACTTTGCCAGCGAGGGTTGCCGCCTGGCCCAGCACCGACTTGTCCGGGCTGAAGAAGGTGGAGCAGCCTGGCTGAGCGTTGACACCTAGCACGTCGCAGCAACAGTCCACCGATGGAGCATACTGCCCAAACCCGACCAGGGAGCAGAACGTGCGAGGTTTGAGGCGCAGATTCTGGCTGCGGGCCAACTCCAGATTGCGGCTGAGCCGGTCTGCCCTGACGTTAAGCTCCCCGGCGATGTGCTCCGCCCTCACTTCAAACTGGTACCGCACCGCCAGCAGCGCCAGCTGCCGGCTGACGGCTCATCCGTCCGGGATGCGTGTGGAACCGTGGTTGATGGCCGCTACCGCCTGGGTGTTGTCGCACCGGACCAGCACCCGGCGCCCCGCCAACCGTGGCACCCAGGACTGCAGCGCCCGCAGGACCGCTGAGAGCTCCAGCCAGCCGATGTGCAGTCGTCGCTCCCCTTCGGACCAGTGGCCTTGCACCTCGGCCCGGTCCCAGGCCGCCCCGAAGCCCGCGCCACTCGCATCTGTGAAGATGGTGGCGCCCTCTTCCCCCAAGAACTCTCCCCTCACCAAGTCCAGATTAGCCAAAACGCAGCGCTTGACGCCGTCCCAGACGGAGGAGTCCGGGCGGAGGACGTCCTGCCAGAAGCGAAGGTCGTCAAGAGCCTCTTCGGGAAGGGCGACTGATGACGGCGGGGGGTACTGCAGGGTGCCGAGAGCGTCGTAGATGCCCTGCAGGAATGTGTAGCCCCATCTGCACGCTCGCGCCACAAACGTGAGGCGGCCGGCGAGTGTCTGAAGGTCCCCTCGGCGGACGGGCCCTGTGGCGGCCGCCTCTAGGATGGCGGTGACTTCCCCGGCATATCGCTGCCGCTTGTCGGGGGCCATACGCATCTCCATGCGGACGGTGTCGAAGAGCATGCCCAGGAACTCCAGCTGCTGTAAGGGGGTGTCGCGCCCCCGGTCCTTGCTGGCCTTCCACTCGAGGCCCAACTCAGTGCCAATGTCATCGAGGATCTGAAAGGCGCCCTGGACGTCCGCGTGCGAGTGACCCATGATCATGAAGTCATCTACGTAGACGAAGATGCGCACCTGCAGGCCCCGGTGGTCGCACTCCTGCTGGAAAATGCTGGCGGCGGCGGTGGTAAGCTCCACGAAGATCGCTGGGCTTTGACTGGCGCCGAAGGGAAGGGAGACCCATCATTGCAGCGCGCCGGTGGAGGGGTGCCGAAAGGCCATGAATTGGCGCGCCTCTGGTGCCAGCTTGACGTGGTGGAATCCGCTCGCCAGGTCGCGTTTCCCCAGAAAGCCGTTGGCTGGCAGCTGTTCGAGAAGTGTGGCGAGATCGGGGAGCGGACAGGGGAGCTTGGTCATGCACTCATTGACCCCAGACCGAGAGGGGTCGGTTATGGGACGGATGGAGCCATCTGGCTTGAGGACGACGTGCAGGGGGTTGACGACGGTCGCGAAGTCGGTCTCAGGGCCATGCACGCTGGGGTCATATTGCTCGGTGACGCCGGAAGCCAGGAAGTCGTCGAAGTGCTGGCTCATGTCGGCGAGGTGCGGGAGGATAGAGGGATAGTTACGGAGGTGGTGGGACGGGTTAGGCTCCGTGTGGAATGTCCAGACGGCCGCGTTGCGGGACGCTGGCGTATTCACTCCATACCGCAGCCATGCCTCGGTGACGAGCTTGCTGCCCGCCTGCCCGAACCAAGGGCGTCCCGGGGCCGGATGGAGCGGTTCGGGGATCATGGCCGCCGCCACTAAGGCTGACGCCTGTGCTACCACTGCTGCAGCGGCCTCTGCAGCCACTGCGTCGGAGACCAACTCAAGTTGCTGCGGAGGCGCGGGGCCCGCACCTACACTCATCAAAACGGGACAGGGGGGGGGGGGAAACCGAGCCAAGCACCCCCAGGAACAATCAGCTGCCAACCTCCTTATCCCCGAGGAGGGGGCCGATATCGCGGTGCGCGCCCCGTCTATCGCCCGACGGGGAGGGCAGCTCTAACCCGCAGCGTGTGAGGGCCCTCCAACTGGGCTAAACGTCGGCAAGATGCCTCCTTATCCCCGAGGAGGGGGCCGATATCGCGGTGCGCGCCCCGTCTATCGCCCGACGGGGAGGGCAGCTCTAACCCGCAGCGTGTGAGGGCCCTCCACTGGGCTAAACGTCGGCAAGATGCCTCCTTATCCCCGAGGAGGGGGCCGATATCGCGGTGCGCGCCCCGTCTATCGCCCGACGGGGAGGGCAGCTCTAACCCGCAGCGTGTGAGGGCCCTCCACTGGGCTAAACGTCGGCAAGACGCCTCCTTATCCCCGAGGAGGGGGCCGATATCACGGTGCGCGCCCCGTCTATCGCCCGACGGGGAGGGCAGCTCTAACCCGCAGCGTGTGGGGGCCCTCCAACTGGGCTAAACGTCGGCAAGACGCCTCCTTATCCCCGAGGAGGGGGCCGATATCGCGGTGCGCGCCCCGTCTATCGCCCGACGGGGAGGGCAGCTCAAACACCGGTTCACGGACAAGGCAAGTACGACCTAACACAGGGCAACACGGGTTGTCTATCCCCCGAAAAAAAACTGACAGACGCACTAAGCAGGGCACGCCGCACTAAAACTCGGCCTCTTCCCGACACGCAAGCAAGGCCCAACGGGGATGGGGTGCACAAGCAACCCCTTATGGAACTCACGTTGGGCAGCGACGTCCGCTTGTTGTTGGGCGCCGGCCGCCTTGATGGGTATGCCCCCAGGCCCCGGCCGCTCCTGTGGCGTTCCAGGGAGGGGGCAAGCGGCGGCCGGCGCCTCCGTGACCTATGCTGAAGCTGGTGCCCCGCGGGCGCCCGCCCGCAAGCGCGCCCGAGCCTTGTCAACCGCTGCCTGCTGCTGGTCCCGGGGCATGGCCTGGAGTTGTGGGCAGTTTCGAAAGCGGTGGCCCCGCTGGTTGCAAATTAGGCACGTGATGTCCTCGGGGCCCTCTTGAGGGCCCCCCTCGGGGGGCAATGTGGCGGCGAAGGGCCGCTTGGAGCTGGGCCGGCTGGCCGACTGAGTCTGTCCTGTAAGCGCCGCGCCCAGGTACGCCCGCTGCTCGGAGGAGAGAGAAGCGAGGCAGGCGACGAGGGAGGTCTTGCGCGGGTCCCCATCCCTTGCCAGGCGGATGACCTCTTTGTAGGGCAGCAGCTGTGACATGTCGTTGAGCTGCTTCTGAGTCTGCTGCGCCTCGGATGCTATCTTGTAGTGTTGCGCCACCTGCACGGCCAGCTGCGCCCGTGCTTCGGGGTCCTGTGTCCCGTCGAACTCTGCTGCAGCCGCCTGAGCGGCCGCAATGTTGTGGTTGACGACGCGGTTGGCATGACTGTTGAAAGCTGATTGGTCGGACGCCAGGCGCTGTCCTCCTGCCGCTTTGAACATCGATCCCCACACCGGCACGGCGTCTAGGACGTCCTCTCTGTCTGCTGCGAGGCCGAGCATATCACTGCGTCTTCCTCGACCACATTTGGGAGGGGGTGCCAGCCTTGCGGCGGCACGCCAGAGACGAGCTGAAGCTTGCGCTCTTGGATCGCGAGCCGAGCGGCATCGCGAGTCTTCAGGTCCGTGAAGGACGGGTTGGCTCGAAGGATCCTCGAACGCTGAGCCTCATACTTGCGCCGAGTAGACTCGATTTTGGCCGTGTGGGCCTCTTTGGCTGATTTCGAGGCTCGCGCGGGCAGATGCTCTTCCTGCTGTCCGAGGTCTGCCGCCAACGCTTCATCGATGGCCAGGAGCTGGTCTTCTACTCGTTGCAATAAGTCTATTTCGTCCGATGAAAGCGGTGGGAAGGCCACCAGCTCTCGATCGCAGTCGGTGATCGTGCGCAGATGGTCAAAGGGCGGCATGTTTACAGCAACTAACACCGGAAGAACTGATGAAATGAGCTGTGGATGATAAGACCGAAAGAAAAGGTCGACAAATTCACACCGCTAACCAACGGACAAAACCAGCGGCAGCTAGCAGCTGTTCTGGTACGGAGGGCTCGTGTCAACTAGTAGCCGAGTCCGAGATCGCCCGGAAGATAATTCAACAAGACTAAACACCACCGAACAAATAGCAATTCAAAATAACAACCACTAACTGCACCGTACGACGCCGCTCCGACGCCCCTCTTCAAACCACATTTTCGGCTATGCCTAAAATAAGATGTTCTAATGCACCGTTTTTAGCACTCATCTGGGGCGTTGCTTCGCTGCAATAGCCCATTCTTTCCCCCCGTGTGTACTCCCTAAAACCCTAAAACCCTAAAACCCTAAACCCTAAAAACCCTAAGTCCCGTGGAAGTATGACTTGGCCCACGACACAACACATGCATGTGGCCATTTACACACACACACATGCACACGCATACACACAGACACACAGACACACGCACATACACATATACACACATCCACACGCACACACACATGCACACACATGCACACACACATGCACACACGCACACATGCACACACACACACGCACATACACACATACACACGCACATACACACATACACATATACATGCACACGCACACACACACACGCACATACACACATACACACGCACATGCACACACACATACACATACACATACACACATACACACACATACACACACTTACACACACTTACACACACTTACACACACATACTGATGGTGATTGTCAAACGTTATACCTGCATCCTGTGCTGGCCACATGGTCACCACACACAGCTGCTTTGTATCCCCCAAGCAATAACACAGATAATCCGCCTCTGCCCCTATAAGAGCACCTGCACCTAGCAATAACACCACATGCTGAAAACTACTGTCGAACCTTGTTGCCCATGATTTTCTACATGCAGCGTTGGGCAGTGTGGGACACAACCGTGTTCATAGAGGGCATGGGTAGCTTGAGGTTCATCCTGGTGTCCAATGAGGCAGAGGTCCGGAAGGCTGGTGGCGGCCAGAACTTGATGGTGGTCAACCAGGTGGCAGAGGAGGTGCAGAAGCAGGCCACCCCCCTTCTGAAGAGGGTTGTCCATGGGTGGTTGAAAGAGCGCCCACATCTAAAGCAATATACAACCAACGACAGCATGCTCCTTTGCAGGCTGAAGGCCATCAAAGCCATACACAGCTCAACACCTTCAGTGAAGCTGGCAAGCTGCACAGCCATGGCCAAAGCTTTGCACCGGAGTGCAGAGCTTGCTCCGGTGGCTTCTGCAATCAAGGAGCTTAAACTGAAGCGGCCGCCATTGAGTGCCACAAGTCCAGAAATGACACCTGTACAACTGGCCAAGGCCACTGCATTCGAGCGGCTGCAGCCCCCAGGGAAGCGGTGTGGGGCCATGATGGCCACACATCAGCTGGAGGCAGAAGACACACCGACTATGAATGCGGCCCAGCCCACTGCCACCACCTCCACTGCTGCCGCCACCGCTGCCACTGCCACCGCTGCCACTGCTACGGCTCCTGCTACCACTGCCGCCACTGCCACCACTGCTGCCAACACTGCCACCGCTGCCACTGCCACCGCTGCCGCCACCACCGCTGCCACCACCACCAATGCAGCAGCAGCAGCAACAGCAGCAACAGCAGCAACAGCAGCAACAGCAGCAACAGCAGCAACAGCAGCAACAGCAGCAGCAACCACTGCCACCGCCATCCCCAGTTGCAACTCGCCCCTTGTGCACCCTGCACAATCTGCTGCTGCTGCCGGCCGCAGGCCAACCCCCCGCCACCCCGTCACCTCCCCTAATCTTCTGCCTTCATCACAAGTAGCGACCCCCACTAGCCACCAGCCTGCACCCTCTCGAGCTGCAGGAGCTGCACGACAACAGGGCCCCCCAGCATCCCCAAAGTCGCTCTTTTACCCGGTGGGGGAGGAGTTTCCCACTGCCCTCCCCAGGAAGCTGTGGGACAGTACAGACATCAGCCAGTTTGGCATATTTCAGAAATTTAAAGGCAAAATGCCATCCATGATGCCCATCACCTCCGAAATCGATGACTTTGAGGCGTTCTGGACGCAGCCCTACAATTTTGAGCGCCAGGGGACTGGAATGGTACGTCAATCCACCTATCGGGGCCTCAAGAGCACGGTATCCAAGTTCCTTGGCTTCGCCCACGGCTGGATGAAGGTCAGCTTGACCTCCCTGTCGTTGAGGCTGTTCTCCAACCAGGTGTGTATGTGTATGTGTATGTGTATGTGTATGTGTATGTGTATGTGTATGTGTATGTGTATGTGTATGTGTATGTGCTTTTGTGGTGTGAAGATTAGGTACATTAGTTCGCTGGATGTATGGACCTGACAAGCAAAAACAACAAGTGACACAGATGGAGACTAAACCCTAAATACCATATAGCTGTCGCACGCCATTTATGCAACCCTAATCTGGAGACACTATACTTTTGCTTCGCAGCTCATGCCACAGCTATGTTGCGAATACAATGCCCTCCATCCTCTCCCTCCACACATGCCACCTCCCGCCCCACCCTAAGCCCCACCTCAACCCCCACAACCCACACCTCCCACAACATCAATGCTTACCCGTGTGCAGCACCTCATAATCAGCTATATGGACTTCATGGTCCATCGTGTCTGCCGTACAAAGGCAGACGTGGAGTTCCAGAACTCCATCAAAACAGTTGAGTACCTGAGGCAGGTCGACACAAGGTCCCTGCCAGATCCGGAGATGAAGGTGAGTAAATTCATGGGTGCAGTATAACTCACTAAAGGAGTGGATGAGCCAGTCATGGAGACTTGTGGCTGTCAGCTGCTTAGGAGGTGGCAGAGGCATATCTCACCCCTTAGGTGGTCTTCCCATTGGACTGGGCAGCAGCCCCTGGCCAGTGTCAGGCCCGGTCAGATAGTTGTATGAGATGCACACCTACACACACACACACACGCAGAAACACACGCACACACCCACACAGATACACATACAGACACACACCCGGTTGGATGCCATGGTGCATATTGAAGTGCCACCGTTGCATCTTACTCTCACTCTCCCTGCCCTGTGCTATTCTCTATATGTGCTGCTGCTGCCTATAACATGTGTGCCCCTTTCCCATTCATTTGATTACATCCCTCCCTCTACATCATCATTAGGTTGCACACCTCATCAGGGTGCATGAGTGGCTCAAGGTGGTGAGGCAACAAGTGCGGAGGAACTACCCAAGAGCTGCCAAGGCGGCACCACCACCTACACTGGTGGTAACAAGTGATGAGGAGACAGGGGATGCAGAGGAGGAGGACAAGGGTTCGGAGGTGGTGGTGAACCACCAGCGGCAGCAGTCCAAAATGTGTGCCATTGCTGGTGGTGGTGGTGGTGGTCCTGCTGCTGCTGCTGCTGCTGCTGTGAAGCATCACCCAGCTGCCACCAAGACAGCAGCCACCAAGAAGAAGCCAGCAGCTGCAGCACCACCAACAACCGCTTCCCCGCCTGATGATGGTCTGCCTAGCAAAAGCGAGGTACTATCTTTTGTGCGTGCGCTGTGGGATAAGGCACAGGCGATGCTGGAGAAAGACCTTGCTGCTGCTGGGCCTAATTGTATTGTATTGTGGTTACAGTATTTCCGCCGCCGACGCGGCGGGTGCCCTCACGAGCCGTGAGGCTCCAGAGCACGCTGTTGACGCTCATCAAAAACCTCAGTAAGGAAAGTAGCGATTTTCCTCGGATTGGTATTAAGAAATACCTTGCACATATCAGTATCTTCAACTAATGGGCCCGTCACTTACAGCACCGCTGTCCTGCTCATGCATGCACTGCTGGCGGAGATGATATCTGGTGTCTACATTCCGCCTGTCCGCTTGTCCGTGTTGAGCACCTTGATGGTGACAGGCATGCAGACCTGCAAGCAGCAAGACTGCTTCCAGATGGACTGCCGCGGCAACAACCTGGTCGAGGTGTTTCCTGTAGCAAGGGCAGGGGCAGGGGCGGATGGCAGCCATGGCGCTAGCAGCAGCAGCAGGAGCAGCAGCAGCAGGGGCCGTCGTCTTGTGATGGAGACCATCCATCACAAGACGGAGCGCTTTAAGAAGGATGAGGCCCTGAGAATTGTGCTCCCTTCAACGCTCTCCCAGCACATCCGGACTTACACAGAGTATGCCCGGCCAGCACTCCTCAACATGAATCCCAGCATTGACGTCTCTAAAATTGGAAGTCACCTATAGGCCGGGCCATCGCCTAATAGGTAGGACCGCGGAATATGTGGAGTATAGGTGATTTCGCGTATATGATCGTATACAACACACCTATAGGCGATCTGTTGTATACAGCATGGTCTATAGGCCTGAAGGCTATAGGTTATCATGTGTACGCAAGAAAAGCTGTGAGAGCCTATAATCGTTGTATAAAGGTATGCCTTTATGTAGGCCGCTCGTATATACAGTGTTCGGGCCAAAGCTGCACTAGCTGCTGCGTGCGAAACACATTTGACCTCCCTTAAAATGCTGCAAACTATGAGGTCTGTGCATATGAAACGTATTGTATTCACCCTTCATGCCGAGGCACATGCATCGATGGAGCCCATGCATTGCCGTCAGGTACCCCTCGTCCCTAAGATCTACTGCTGTAACAACCACGCACACATACTGCTAGTAGTCATAAGAGCTGTAATTCCTGTGACCTCTGGTGTCCTGTTCGCGCCAGTTGCACCGCAAACGCTTCCACATGAACTGTTAAACTGTTTAAAATTTTCGTATTCTTAAGTATCGCGCGTGTGTATGCTTTGAAAATACAGGAGATGGAAAAGGTACGCTTACAGCGCTAGCCGTCAGCGATTTCTGGCTTACCAGGGTCTCAAGATCTAGGACCTCTTTTCCGAAAGCACTGAAAGGAGTTTTGCAACGTTATGTAATCTTTTCGGGGACTTTCCATGGACCTGCCGGCGAAGTAAGGGAATAATATGCGCACGCCGCCGAATAAGTAATTATCAGTAAACAGTTAACCTGCAGGTATCACGTTGAACTTCTTAATGCAATGCCAACATAAACCAAACAGGACAAGCCTACAACATGACTTCCAAAGGGTGGCATGTATGTTAGAAGCGCCCTGCAATCCGCTAAGGTACA